TATAACTTGAAAGAGAAAAAAACAACTTGAAAGAGAGAAAAAAACAACTTGAAAGAGAGAAAAAACCCATAACTTGAAAGAGAAAAAAACAACTTGAAAGTGAAAAAAATTTGACTACAAAGTGAAAAATAGTAGAATGATGCCCAGGAGCTTCCACGTGGCATAGAGCCGTTGCGGATTACTGTTTCAATTTTTTTATTCGCGAAAAAATGGCTGCCGTTGGATAAGTTTAAAAAGCAGATCGGATTGCCCAGCATGCGACACGTGTAATCATACCGTTGGGCGGGTACTGTAGCGCGCGTCAAATTTTTTTAAAACCGGGCGCGTGTATTGCACGCGCCAGCTTTAAAAAAATTTAAACAGCAGCGCTGACATCGACGTCATCCTTGGAGCTCGGGTCAGCCTTCCCCTCGAGCTTACCCAGGTTTGTGGGCCCCACTGTTTGCCCTGGCAGATTGTTGTTGCTGGAAACCTGTTTTTGGGTTTGCCCCTCCCCCCCCAACTCTCCCCTTGGGCCCTCTGGTGGCAATGCTCTTAGTTTTATATATATGTTATATAGCTTACTTATTCAGCGTAAAGGAAAAAATGAAATTGAAAATGAGCGTCAAACTTGGAACGCTTGTCGTTTATCTCGCTCGTAGGTAGGACCGTTCGTGGGGTGGTTGGTGGTGTTACATTGATATATTTTTCACCGCGCCTTTGATTCTTTCAGCAATTTTTGGGAGAGAGAGGATTTGTTGGTGGCTTCCTGAAAATTCAACTTTGGTGACTTTAAAATTTTTTCTATTCTCACCAATTAAAAACCAACAACATTAGCAATTGGGAAAATTTTTATTTTTTTTCTTTATTTTTGCCCCTAATTTTCTGCACTGAAATGAAGTAAAATTTGAGAGATTCATAAACTAAATGATTTATTAGTCTCTAAAGTTGGAGAGCTTGAACTAACAACAAAACATAATCTGTTGTCCAAATTGTCTAATTGTATCAACCAACTAAAGCCTGAAAAATTACATGTACGTATGAAAGAAAATCCTTAGGCGGATCAAAAACAATATCCAATATGTCACATCTTTGTGCATCATGAACATGGAAAATAATTCAACAAGACAAAAGAATGAGAGAGATGTAGGCCGCAATTAGGCTAATGGCCAGGGCCTTTTTTGCTAGGTCCAGAGGCCAATCTAAGCGCCAAGCTCCTCACCGAAGGACGACGGGCAGTGCTCGAGTTGTAGTTAGAAGAAACAGCAAAGCTAGCCATGCCTACCTCCTCAGCCCCATCAACTCCTTTGCATCCGCCATCACTGCCGCTGTCGCTTGTTGCTGATCGAAGGGCTCTGCAATCAACTTGACCAAACTCTGTTGACACAATCAGCAGCACCATCAACCCCATCACAAGCCACACGCAACTGGTTGATGCTGTTGAGCTCTTCTTCATTCTCATTGCCATCTTTACTTCACAGCTAGCACACAAATCTTTCTCTTGAGAGTTTTCTGATTGGTTTTTTTTTCTCTGTGTTCTGAAAACAAGGCCAACCCACTTGTATATATACGCAAGGATTTGAGCTGCTGATGACGGTGTGGCTTAGCTATTGATGTAGTGGGTCAATCAAAAGATGTTTGACTTTCCCTTTTTTTTAATAAAAGTTATAGTTTACTTGTACAATGAAGTGGGGAGCAAGGCGAGAAGCCTGGGGGAAGGAGGGAGGTGTGCTTTTACTTTGAAATTGTTTCGTGCTGTTGGAATTTGACTTTAATTGCCAAATCCAAATACGTCTCAAATCACCAAGAAAAAGCAAGAGAAAGGTTTTTTCTGTCTGCAAAATCCGAACTACTGTCATGAGCATCACCTTTTTGCATGGAAACACACCGGATGTGATCCAAAACGCGTGCGTCTTGTTCCATCTGTACGCGGCACTCTCTTTATTCTATATATATATATTTTCTTTCTAAGAGGCAGGGGCGGATCTATTAAGGCGCAAGGAGGTGCAGCTGCACCTCCTTGCGCCGGAGAAACCATTGTAGGTGCTTCAAATTGCCCATTTGCTCAATTGGTGTACAGATTACCTTATTTCCATTTT